ACAGAGACAGGCTGGAGGAGGGAGTCATCCCCCCTCTCCAGGAGCATCAGTAGGCATGCACTCTCCGAGCAGTATCTCAGTATCCTTACCAGGGAGGCAGACAGAGTAATTTAAACAAACAAGGCCCCAGTGATGGAAATTTCAAGCTCAAAGCTACCATATGGAGGGAAATCATCTGACCACAATTTACCTGTTAGACTTCAAAAGTGTCTATGTCTCCTCTAAAGAAAAGCAGCCTTTTCTCTAATGAAGTTAAGTACTGTATCTCAGCACCGTGTGTTGTGAAAAGGAAGCAATTTGGATTCATTTACTGAAATTTACCTTTCAGATGCAGTTAAGTGAAATTAAAAGTTTGTCTGAGTTGACAGAGTTCTGTTTTCCATCACTGCATTGTCTTGAAAGAAAGGATAACAGGCTAAGTGCTTAAATTCCATCCAAACTGATAAGGTTCATTCTATACAGGCACACTTAGTGCAGTTTATTACACATTGTCTCCCTTCATCCATCATTGATATAACTTTTTTTTTTGGGGGGGGGGGGGGGGGGCTAAAATAACCGTTGCTTCCAAAAGAAATTGGTATTTGTGATGTTATTGCATTCATCTGTGGTTGAATAGTCAGCGCTGGGCTATCAGAGAAATGCCATTTCCAATTACAGGGGGAATTCATTTCATTTCCCACTAATGGCAGGTTTTGCAGGGCCGAGCTTACATTTAGGACAAGAATTTATTTTTTTCTCTTCTGATAACAATTCTTTTCCTTTAATTTCTTTCCAGTGCAAGTGAAGTATCGGCATGTCAGAGTCTTCCCAAACACCATCTTCACCCACATCGCTTCCTCAGCAGTGGGAACAAACCTCTAAATTTACCCATTACATCCTCTCTCAATTCTTTCTTCCACCACTGTATTTCTCTCTTTTCTCATCTCCCAGCTGCCATCACTCCTTCCAAACCTCACGTCTCCCAAAACACCCTGCCAGCTACTAACTCCTCTCCATCCCTCCCTTTTTCCCAGGAGCTTTCCTCCCGCCCTGCCTTGGGGCCCCAAGAGCTATCAGGCTCCCCCCGCTGCTGGGAGAGGTTCTCTGTTCTCTTGGGTTGGTTTTGTTTGGAGCCCTACACCGTCTGTCCGCTAGAAGAAAGGTGCGATCCTGATCCGGCCTTCACTGACTACTCTAAAACGTCACAGACATCTACTCTTTCAATTAACTGAGCAGCTCATCGGGAAAAACCAGTGAATGATCTGTAATTAATTATATGTACTACAAGGGGAAGCTTAGCTAACATAGTGTCAACAGGAACAATAACACACTCTGTATGCCAAACTGCAGCCTTCCAGCCCAAGGGTTTTGCCTCCCCTCCCTGCTGCCCCAGCTGGCTTTTGGCTATAGGGGCGAGCTAGGGTTTAAGTTTTGTCTACGTTCAAATTCCTCCCAAAGACATCCTTCAGATCGGCACATTTCTGTGAAATCAAGTAGTTAAAAGAAAAAAAAAAATAATCCCGCTACTTGAAATCTCAGTTTAATTTTGATTCTTGACAAACGTTTTCAAATGCAAACTGCAGCCAGGGAGGACGTTTTCATTTTGTTTAGATTTGGGGGGAAGGAGGCAGAAGGGAGAGGAAACCACACATTTCATCGGCATTTTTTATTTTTTAAGAGCCTTCAGTGTAGCCGATTGCCCAGGAGATCAGCAAATCTTAGCTCTGTCAAAGACAGGGAGGAGACAGAGCAGAAGCTTTCTCATCCTCCACAGCAATACTAAGCCTCCAACACACAAATCTAAACACCGTCCACTCAGGGGTGCCAACTCAAATGCCTCAGCTGTTAAGACAGAACAAAAAGGAAAGGACAATCTCCAAGGTATAACTCAAAGTAAATACTAATAATGATGTGTGACATCAAATGATGACTCATTTTTCACAAGGCCATTTCAGATTGTAGCTATAACCTCAAATCAGACCCGAATGACTCTGTGAGCCGAAGTCTTAGTGGAACCATTAATTATGGATTTCCTGGCTTTTATAGGTTGGAGTCAGACCTTTGATGTTCCTTTAAGATTGTTCTTCTCTGTTAATTTCCTTTGTTTCTCTGTTGGTAGCTTAAAAAAATACCCCAAGATTTCCATGGAAGTGTATGAGATAGCCTAGAAATGCACAGTGCATAAAAGCCCTGCAATTCATGGCTCATAAAGTCCTCTAATCCACGGTCAATAAAGCTTTGGAAAAGAGCTGTAGTCACAGCTCTGACACGCAGCCATTTCACAGTTCAATGAGGTTCATCCAAGAATCAATAATCTGGTTTAAATTCGCCTGGATTTGTCCTGCACCTGTATATCCCTCTTTGACTCTTCAGGTTGGATGGCAGCTCAAACAGCTGAATTCTGGAGACCTTGCAAGGAATCAATGAGTTTTATGCAGCTTTCACCCAAAAGCCATAACAATGACCTAAATCCCTCTACTTTGTCTCATAGGTGAACAAGTCAAGTTTCAGGTGACCACAGTTGAGTTAGGAAACTCAAACTGGAAGAAGAACCTTTTGGAAAAAGGAGGCCACAGCTCAAGGTAATACTATGTGCAGAGACCTCAGTCCATATAGAACATAGGGGAGCTCCAATTTAAGTATATGTAAATGCACAATGGATCTATGGGACGGACCAGATTGTGAACTTCTAGTACACTAATTATCCTCCAGAAATGAATGCTCACTGTTGAGTGCTGGTGAACATTATTGAGGCAACACAATACAAGTCCACACGCTTCTCTCCATTGCCCATATTATTATCTATCCTTGCTGTTTCTTTCCAAGAGCGATCATGCTACAAAGTCTGGTGACAGGCACACATTTCTGCTCTTTTCTTGCCAATCAGAAAGGAACCAGTTAGAGAGAACTCCCTGTTTATTGCCTTGTGCAAGGTCCAGCTTGCAATTAATGCTGACGAAACCCAACTGCCAAAAGCACAATATGCAGCAGCTGGTTTATGAAAGTTGAGACCCCATCCAATTTATGGGGAAACCAGAGCTGGTTGTGAGTCTCTGATTTAGCTGAACAGTTTGTATTTTTTGTTTTGTTTTGTTCCCAGGAAAACACCAGAAGTTACTCCCGAACTGTAGAAGCACTAAAACCATCTGAAAGCACTAAGGCAGACTTCCCTTCCTGCAGCCTTTCCTCATTTCTAGGGCTGTGATCTCCCACTAATATCTCCCTGGGATCTTTCAGCAAGGCAGGCGACACACAGCGTCTGGTTCATCACCAGCGTGGTGGGAGCAGAAACTTACGTTTCCTTACCCCAATCTCCATCCTTACAAGACGGAAGTAGAGCGATAAAAGGTTTTGATTCAGATGAAATCTCGCAGGAGCACAGAGTGAATAATTTAACTCTAACCTGGGGAACTACCCTTTTAAATACTTTTCCTAGGAACATTGCTTACTGAAGTAAAAACAGAAAAAAGCACACAAGTCTGCCAAAGCTATGCAGGCACCACTGCTGTAAGCCCCCAGCTGCACATTTCCACAGCTATATCAGGCCAAATATCCAATATCCCTTCTGGATAGATAGGATGCGGGCAGGAGGATTGTGCCAAACTGCCAGGATCCCACCAGATCTGACTATTTAAGCACCTCAATTATATGATAAATACGGTGAGCTGGACCAGACGCCCTTGTGAAATGCTGGGATATTGTGAGAAACCACAACTTGGCATCCACCAGGCAGAAGAAAGATAGAAAAGTCCTTTGTCCTCAAGGTAAGCAACTATGTAGGACCAAATGTCTTTTAACTCATGCTTAAACATCCTCTGTGGAGATGATCCAACCACTGAACACACTTTAAGAACAAAACAGGTGAATCCAGATCTGATCCCTCTTACCAAGGCTGGGATTAACCTCAGAAACAGCCTCACTACATTAAGTTTAATAGGCACCACCGTAGTAACAACCTTTTTATATTACTCACTCCAAGAAGAAAATATAATAAACTACAACAAAAATGAGGCAACGGCTCCATTAAAAAGAATGAATAAAAATAATATTAAAAAAAAAAACCCAGAACACAAATATGTGGAGCTTTTTTTCCTTAGCAAAGGGAGAAGCCTCTGAGAGACTCTGACTCATTTTACCTGCAAGGCACTTAGGTGTTATGAAAATGGGAATAAGAGTAATGCTCAAAGAGAGACAACCATTACATGTATAGGTGAGCAGCCAGTTCCCAACAGATTATTTCACTCCTTTTACTTGTTAGCAGATCTATAAACATCACGGCTGTTTATACACCCATGACTTGGCCTGGATAAAGGCAGTAAGATCTTTCCCAGTTTTAGAGGTGGGAGAATAAATTGTCCAGGAATACTAAGCGCACACATCAAGAAGCCCTGGTCAAACATGAAGGCTCTTATTCAAACACTGAATGGGAGTTTTTAACCTCGGATCAAGATTGACATTGCCATGGAAAGGTGCCTACCTCCGTGCTCTTCACTTAGAGGCCTTAAACTACTTCATTTTTATCTCAGTTTCCTGTTTTCACTGCAGTCTGAAATGTTAAAACTTTCAGTCCCAGAACACAGTTAAGAAGATTGAAAGTTAGATATGTCAGAATCTTAAAAACTCCCAGGAATATTCTGCATGGTTGGAAAACGGGCGAGTCTTTGGGCTGGAAACTGACAGTAAAGGTTGGAAAATAATTATTGGAAGAAAGAGGGCAAACTCAGAATATTTTCCACCGTCATTTTTCTCCTGTTTTCACTCTGACAAGCCTTTGTTTCTATATATTTTAAATATTCTAAGCATTAGCTTTATTTCTCTTTACTTTTAGATCAAACGTGCTTAGAAGCCTTCCTCCTAGTTCCTCATAATGCTCTGAAAACATCACCTCACTCCTTGTCTCTCCCATGTAGCCTTTCTCCAACCCTCTTTACGGTCTAGTCAACAAGACCTGGGAATGTGTAAAGAGCAGCTAGTTAGGAGACAGCAGGAAGAGGACAGGGACCATAAAAGATGTGACTCACCTGTCTTCTATCCGAACCCAGAGGTCATTGAACTGCCTCTGGCGATGGTGTTTGTGCTGCTTCTTGTGCCATTTCTTCTGCCTGCCAAACTCTTCCAGCTGGCTGATGCTGTCTGGCAACAGGAGGTGAGGAGAGAGGCTGTCTTCTTCATCCATCTGTAGGGGCTTCAGGGAAGGAGAAGTCAGTGGGACCTGCTCAGAAAGCTGGACAGCAGGCAGGGCTGTCGCTGAGGTCCCTTCTAAGGCCGGGCTTGTCTTTGTCGTCCTCGAACTGCAAAACACAACATTTAAACATTTGATGAAAAAGCAAGGGATCGTGCAAAAAAAAAAGTGAAAGCAGAGGATTGCACTGCTTGATGGGTGCTCCTAGCTCGTAAGAAGTTGTACAAGGAGAAAGGATTTTGCTCTGTGGCAGCAACTAAAGACAGCAGTGACATTTCCTAGCAAGCTTTTGAATAAACACTAAACTGAAAAAGAAGGAAAAGGCAGTTGATACGCTATTGCTGTTTTCTGGCATTTTCACAGAATCACAAAATGGTCAGGGTTGGAAGGGACCTCTGGAGATCATCTAGTCCAACCACCCTGCCAGAGCAGGGTCACCTACAACAGGTTGCACAGGACAGTGTCCAGGTGGGTTTTGAATGTCTCCAGAGTGGGAGACTCCACCACCTCTCTGGGCAGCCCGTTCCGGTGCTGTGCCACCCTCAAAGTAAAGAAGTCCCTCCTCATGTTAAGATGGAACTTCCTATGTTCAAGTTTGTGCCAGTTACCTCTCGTCCTATCACATTTTAAATACTTCTTACAGGCTTTAGAGCCTGCGGTAGGGGTCAACATCACCTCCCCCACTGGGCTGAAGGTTAAATGGCAAAACTGTGACTCTGAGGAAAACGGATACCTTAACAGAAGCTGATCTTAAATTATGAGATAACACTAGTTCCCTTCCTTTTTTTTTTTTTTCAACTTTGGATATCATCTGTGGAAAACAAGTCATTGTTTTGACTGCAATAATAATTGTGCGTGCTCATCTGAAGATGTTAGGAGTGGTGACAGGGAAGCCCAGACTGATGACAGAAGCATGGTCAAATAGCGAGGCTGCTGGGATGGATGTATGAGACCTGAACTCCAGCAGGTTTTGTGTAATGGGGACATGAAGCAAAAAAAGGGGGTGAATGACCTGCCCAAAGCCAGCTTGAAACAATACTGCCAGAGCTCTTCACTCTTGTTTGAAATACTACCACCTCTTGCATCTGACTGGAACTATGCAGAAAAAAGGCCTTTTATTGTTTTCAGCTTCTAGAGTTTTGCTAATTTTAGACAAAAGTCAATACAAACTCTCTCCTTTGATATGTGGCCATGTCAACTTACATTTGTGAGCTAAGATATCTGAAACAAAAATCTAATAAACCCGTACTGACATAAAGCGATGTTTTTTTCCCTAACTTCAGTAGAAGCTCCTGTTTGGTCTTAATTGCAAGAGAGGAAATTTTTCTGTCTCTGAGATGGCACGATGAGTTGCAGGTAAAGAAAATTTGGAAGAGAATTAATAGGCAATATGAAGCTGTGGTCTGCAAAACTATTTCTATTACATGGATGCTATGACTTTTATGACAGAAACAATTAAAGCCACGTGAAAAGTTTTGCCTCCTGAGTGAAACCAGTAAGACATTTTAATGAAAAAGTAATAAAAAATCCTAAACTTCATTGGTGACAATGTACAAAATGTGCTGCAAGTGAAACCACATGTTTCATTTACAGAACATTTTGTTCTTTTCCAAAAGAAAGGTCACATCTACTACTAATGGCAGCTTTTTTCCTTTTTGATTTTTTTTAAGTCCATTACAATAGCAGTCAAGATGGTCATCTCGATTTCCACTGCATCACGTTTCACCCAAAGGTCCTTCCAATAGCTACTGAGAATTAATTGTTGCTACTACTAGACTCACTGGCAAAAACAACAGTAACTTTGTCACTCATAGCCAACATTAATGAAGTTCTTCAGAGATCATATGACAGATATAGAAAAGAAAGACACTTGTTTAAACTAATTCTAAAATTCTCCAAGGTTGCTTTCATTAATAAAAGACGCAAGAAAATCCTGTGTTTGTTCTCTTTTTCCAAGCATTCAGACTCTCAGTGAGTCCTTTTCAAACTCATTCATACTCACTCCGTGCTCTATTTTACATCACAGAGAGATCTACTGGTTCTGGATTTTTTCCCCCATTAAGCCTTTCTTCCATGATTTATGTTGAGGACGAGTTTTCATCAGAGCAGCAACTTTAATCGAGAGATCTTGGTGCTCTCCAAAGCCTTCAAGGCTTTTTAGACTGTGACATAGGCTTATGGCTGAAGCAAAGCCATCTCCAGACTCATGTAAAAGGAGAGGCTCTCATAGGTTTGCATTGGGTGGGTACCTCAGGCCACAGTTCTTAATTTTTATCCAACCGTGATGGTGGATCAGTGAAGTATCAACATGCAAATGTTTTTAGCAGCTTGGAGGATAACTCAGCGAGAACTTGGATAGGATGGGTTAGGCAGGTAGGAAGGACCTGGACCAAGCATCTACAAAACACCGTGTGGGTAACCACAATGGCAGCAGGCAGCAATGGGTGGCAAGAAAGCCCCAGCTTCATCACCTCCTGCACTTATGCCAAAGCAATGGGAATAAAAGCTGGCTGATACTGCCCAAGGACAGCTTGTTCTGGTACTGCTCTAGATACCTCTGCTCTTCACTGTGTGGTGTCAATTCACCCAGGTCTTCCTGCAACCAAGATGTCCATCTGCACACTGGGGAGAAGAGCAGTGGCCTGGCCACAAGGCTGTGGTGGGCAGAAACATGTTAAGAAGGCAAGAACATGGAGCAGATGTGAGAGAGCCCAAAGTCCACAAGCAATGGGAGCATCACATCTGGTACTGAGCTGTTGCCACGATTTCTGTTTCCATTGACTTTCTTCTCCTTGCCACTGAAATTGTGCCTCATGTTCTGATCAGACAGTAACTCCCTGAGATGCTGAAGGTAGGAGCAGCCCCCATATCAGCCCACATCTACCAGCTCAACGCTGGGGCTGCCATTTGTTCCTTTAATGGTCTTAGAGACATCTGAACACATACTTTCCACCTTTCAACACCTACTATTTTGTTACACGTGTTTACCTTGCTCTCAGCTCCTAGTAAACTGGAACCAGTAGAGAGGTGTTTTTATGGGTTGAGATTTTAGAAACCACTTAAGACGACTGGCAGCTCACTTCTTATTAAAATTAATGAGTTTGGGCATCAAAATCCCAGTGATGGCTTTGAAAACTTCTAGCTTAATTGTTTCCACTACCATCACATGAGCCACAGGTTGTAAACTTGATATTTCAGAACATTCTTTGGGAAGAGAATAAATAAACACTGAAGAAACGTTAAAATGTTGTAACCTAAAGAGGGTTATAAACTAACCACTTGTATTTTAGAGTCGACGTGTGGGGAATAGCTCCACAGTGGCAACTGTATATTACATTTGGTCAATACTTGTTCCATTATTCCTATACTACTAATAATTACCCCAAGACCTAGGAGGACAGGACAGGACTGTTGAAGGCTGTGTGTTGATACATGCTCGCTTCTTTCAAAAAAAAAAAAGATTTTTTTTAAAAAAGTGATTTAATAAATTTAGAGACCTGGTTGTTTTCAAATCTGATCATCACCCTACAGATATTCAACCAGAAGTAAAATCAAAATTTTGAATCCCATAGAATATGGATATTTGATCCAAATATATTGTAAGAATATGTAACTATTTTAATTCAAAGTAAGGTAGACTTCCTATCAGAAGATAACTTTCCCATTGATTTCAGTAAAAAAATTATTAATACAAAGGGCCTGAAGATAATAAACTCCCATCTGCAACAGGATAGCTGGACAACAGATCTCCCTGTTGTGTGAAGCTTTACTGTTAGATTCAACTAATCATTTTATGGACTATTTCATGCCTTTCCTTTGGTCTCAGTCTCAACACACTCTGTTAGCACAGCTGCACTGTATGAAACCATGGGGATATAATACATATTTTTTTTCCACTCCTTCACTACTGCTGAGACAGCTTTTCAAGATACATAGTTATTTTTAAAGCTAGAGAAAAAGCAGGGCTAGTTTGCAGTTTGCGAGGCCACCGTGCTTTTTCTGAAGGAAGAGTGAGAAAGTACCACCCAAATATCTGGGTCCACACAAAGATCTCAGAGACTTTTCATGAATAACTTGATACAACTCCAGGCTTAGAGGTTCCACCCATTTTTAAATCCATCATTCCCACATGGGGTGGTCTTTGAGAAACTAAAAGTATTTCAGGCCCTTAGGTGGGTTTTTATCATCTCTGACCTTAATTTCCTTCCCTGGGATGCACAGTTCTGCAAAACACGTTCTCTAAAATAATGGAGTCCAAATAAGAAAACTTGTGAGTCTCAGCAAATATCCTACATGGCTTAAGGTACAGAAAACAGAGTGAAAACAGGAAAACATTTATTCTTGCTAGTTCTTGAAAACACTTAATCCACAGACAAAGAGCCCTGCGGTTTTGTTTCACTTCTGGTGAAATTTGCCATCCTTTTCTAATTCTTTTCAAGAATTAAAAGGACAAAACGAAACACTCAAGTTGTTTAGGCTGAGCTGCATGCTCCATTAGGCTGCCTCAGCATTTTTCTCTCTCTGCCTTGTGGTCTCCAGTGTTACTCTCTGCTGGCACTGACAACAGAAAATTGACTCATCATCAGGATTTGCTAGGGTTATCGAGTGGATCTGGTCAGAAAAATGGCATTAACATCATGAAGTCCTGCAATAGCTTCTTTTCATAATTCCCAGACTTAAAATTGCCCAGGTCCAACTTTCATTCAACCCAAAGCCACGTGGCAGCCTGGCCATGCCTTTGTCCCTGCCCATGCAAGCATCTTCCTACCCCTCACATCAGGCAGCCAACTACTGCAGCTCAGAGGGCCGTGACCATCTCTGGGCTTGATAACCTCCTCTGTAGGGTGAGTCAGAGCATCCACATTTCCTTCCTGCTCTGAGTGGCCCTTGCGAATAGCCCACCCTTCCCCACCAGTGGAGGTGGAGGCTGCGTGGTGTTAACACGACTTTGCACCGTACCTCGTCCCAACCCACAGGGATTTTCCCAACCACCGATTCATTGACAATTGTCTGAGGGGAGCATCAGGCAGGGCAGACCCCACTAACATCTCTGCCCACTGACCCTGCTGGGGCAATGCTAACAATGTTTGGGGTGAGTCCCATCGAGCC